CAGTGAAGTTATGCCACTTTCCATGGCATTTACCCTGAGTTAAATTTTCTGTTACTTTTTCTTTTCAGTGTTGCAAGAATGCTAATATGAACTAGAACTGTAACATATATAATTTTATTTGATATTTTATTGTGTTTTTTTGAACTAAGAACTTAATGTGGGTGTCATAAATTCAGTCATGGCATAAGGCAGAATTTGTTTTGCAACTGGAACTCATACTGAATTCTCCTAGGGTCATAGGCTCACTGAGTTTATGAAATTATTTAATGCCTTTAAATAAAATGAGTACTGATATATATATATTTTAACTGAAACTGATTTATTTAGTTTGTATAGATTAATACCTAATCTGTAGGAATTGTGTCCATTTAAGAAAATCAGTGTTTATTCATCTGTATGTGTGAAAAGACCAAAACCCCATTGAAATCAGGGACTTACCACAGAGATCAAGCATCTGTTCATTGCACCATATATGGCTGAGTGTTTTGCTGTGCCTGGGGTAGTCTGAAGGTGATCTGCAGTGACTTGTGCACTTGCTGATGCACACTTCCCTTCTGGATTATAGAGCAAGACGTTGGCAGTGGGGGAGTCTTCAGGGCTGGCCTCTACAAGGAGAGGGTGCAGCCACTTCCATCTGGAGCCACCACTGGCCAAAGCCCAGAACATCATCTGAGTGATGTTACTTGGAAACAAGCTCTGTGCATGTTCACTTGCCCCATAATCAAACCATGAAACCACAAGATACAAGAACTGGTATCCACAGGACAGCATGCAGAGATCAGAAGGAGCCTGGGTACAGACTGTATTCAAAGAAGGATTAAATAAACTACAGTAAAGGAGGTGGGGCCATTCCCTCTTTTTTGCACATGTACTGCTGCTGCTTTATTACTTATATTGTCCATTATAATTCTACTTTCAGAGAAGGAGATGGTTACTTAGATTGTAGAAGAAAGTGCCTATTTTTTTTAATGCTCATCTGCAGCTTGTTCAGGAACCAGATAACCCTTACCCACACCAAAAGCAAATGAACCAGTAAAGAAATTTGAACGCAAATTGAATTTCTGAAATAGAAAACTCTCGACTGTTTTGATTTTTTGATGTATGAGGTCCTACATATACTCACACACATATAATTAAATATTCATTTAAGTTATTGTGTCAGCTTTATTGTGAGGTGTCAGAAGGGTAATTAATTCTAATCGTGGTCACACTGACCATTCATTCTACTGCACATTCTCAAAAGATTTAATAATTTTTGAATAAGCATGTGCAAAGTTTTGAGTTTTTCCTTCAGTTGTTTGCATCTACTGCCTTTTGACTTCAGTTCTACATAATAATACAATGTATTTGGATGGCACTGGCAAAAATACATAACGATTGTTACCTGTTCTGTCTTTGAATCAACTGCAATCTGGTATGCTGTGATCCACTTCATTATCAGACTTAGCAATAAAATATAGTACAGATAAACTTCAATTTGGCTTGACACTTCAAACTAAAGAGTTGTAAAATGTGTCTTTGCTTTTTAGTGGCTGCGAAAAAAATTATCTCCAACTAGCAATGAAGTCATGTTTGATGTCATTAGAACATATATTTCCTGTCAGACAGGTTTTAATGACTTTTTTTTATTAATAAGGTATAAGGTAAAATTCAGAAAGGTACCTCAATGCTTTACAACCTAAGTATCACTGAAAGTCAATTTAACTGTATAAGTTTTCAAAAATGAACTTATGGGGAACTTGTTTCTGTCTAGTTTGCTGTAAAAAGACATGTAATGAAACCTGCTACTCTGGTCTACTCCTTTGATCAGAAAAAAAGAGTTAAATGAATTTAGCACTTCCCATTGTTTAATAAACTTAAAGGTGTTTAAATCAAAGCTTCCTGTCATCTAAGTAAGTTAAGTACAATTAAACAGAATAGAGAAACATTATTCTTGAAGCACCTCAGATGGAAAACCCCCAAAATTAATTTTCCATATACATGACCATATGCTACATCTTGAAAGCCACCAGACCAGGATTACTTCTGTGAGAATGGCTTATATTCATCTTGAAGTTGCTGTAGGAGAACACACCTATCATTGGTCTTCTCTCTTTCTGAGATGAGGAGCACCAGCCTGAATTGTTCTGAAAAACAGAGGTGCAGAAATTCAGTCTGATGACACAGGTGATCTCTTGAGCAAGACAGACCTGAGCTGTTGCAAACACCACCATTTCTTCCTACGCTGTTAAATGGGAAAGGAGAACTATTCATGCGGTAAATTGAATCAGGGTAAATTATTAATAAACTATCTTAGTTCTGTGCTTTTCTTTGTTTTATTTGTTTGTTTTTTAAAGAAGGACTTATGTCTTCCCTTTATCTCCACACACAATTCGTAGTAAAAGCTGATTGACTATTAAACCTTTCAATTCTGCTATCAGTCTTCTCTGCTTCTTCAGTGTCTTGTAAGTTTGCTGGAATCAACTGTTTTCCTGCTCCTGTTCTTTCTCAGCAGGGAGATTGGTTCTCAGGTATTTTATCCCTCCCTTCTGGAAATACTACAGGATAATAAGACACTGGTCACTGACATTCTCTACATATTTTTGTAAACACATGCAGTCCCTCAACTATCTGCATGCTGAGTGGAAATTGTGTAAATGTTGCCTGTATATATCTTAGGATTTTGAAAACATCGCAGACCAAATCTTTATGTAATGTCTGTACAACAAATTCAAAACCTTGTGGATGCCATTACAAAGATTTTGCTTTGATTTTTATCTTTTTCATTCCTTCTTCCTCTGCCAACTTCCACAACAAAAACAAAACTACAAACCAACAAAATCTAAACACCACAACATCAACAAAAAAACCCCTTGAAATGAACAGCACTAGGCCATTCACAAATGTATTATTGCAACAATTGTCTATTTCATTAGAATAAATACTAAGACAGTAGTATCAGTGGTACATACTAAGAAGGAATGTGACATCGGCGTTGAGCACAAAATGCTGTATGGTGCCATGGACTGCTTGTTCTTGAGGTCCCACAAATGGAGTTTTAATGAGTTGAGATGAGTTAGGCATCTTTTGTTTACTTTCAAAATCAAAACACATTACTGTATGGTCTGTTGGGGCAAAATCCTGAATAAACATAACCTAAAGTAAATGTATACTTAAAGCTAAGGTCTAATTAAAATCAATTTTATTTACCCAAGCTGTAGACACTTTAATTGCATAATAGCTCTAATTCTGTCAGGCGTGGCCGTGGGAGCTGCAGCACGGCATTCCTCGACAGAGATCGCCCTTTTCCCAGGACCTCCAGGCCGCTGCTGCGCCCTCTCCAGCCGCGCACAGCAGGCACGGGCAGACATCTTCGGCATTTTCGGTCTGCGAGCAGCGGTGCCCGGTCGCTGATGCTGTGATCACATCCTCAGGAGAGAAGCTGTCTGGCAGCTCCAGCAGGGCCACGCCGCCGGTGCGGCACCGCTTTAGCGAGGCGTCTCCCCGGAGCCGGGAGGGCCGAGGAGCCCGGGCAGCGCCGCCGCCTCCCGGATCCAGCACCGCGGACAGCGCCCGGCGAGCGGCGCGGGCGGGCGGGCGGG